TATTTTTTAATTTTTTTTTAATTTTTTTCATAGTTTTTCTTTTTTTTTTGATTTTACATTATCTTGTTATATGTTAATATAGCTTTTTTGGCGAAAAGCTACCTCGCTTTATTTATGGTAACTATTACTCACAGTCGTGTTTTCCCTGCGAACCACAAAATAAACTCTTTACACCGAGTCGTGACCTTGTGACCTCGGTGTATCCTCTGTTTTGAATACTCCTGTACCCATTCAGTACTCTTCAAAATTCTGTTTTCTTTTTCACGTGTTAACGCACTAAAAATGAAACGAATATCAGATCTTCTATTTAACCTTAGCAAATGTTTATTCTGACTGACTCAATTGATTTATATCAATGCTATATGTGAAAGCGGTTTCATACCAACTGAACWCATCGAATTAGGTCCCTGGCTGCCCTATATGTATTCTGATTGTTACTAAAAATTGGTTGAACTCCATCTTCTTCATATTTTTGTCATATCTATCTCACTTGTTCAAAATGCTCTGCAATCAATCTGTATTTTCCTCTTCGTTTTTTTTTGCACTACAATGAAGTATGTGAATAATAGAGTCTCTCTTATACTACTGTTATTGGTCATGGGGCCAACTTATGCTTAAGCATAACGTTGACACTCAAGCATGTTCCAAATGAAGTAGTATCTTTGGATCTCGTCCTCACCTTATAATCAATGTATATGTGCACAGGCAGTAGACGACRCTAAAAATGGCAACATTTGGCGATGTTACCTTTTAGGCGTCGAGATACACCTGTTTTGGATTTTAGTCGCCTCTTACGACAGGCATACCTTACCGCGGGTAAATTCTACCGCCCCCTAACCCGCTGGGGGTCGTCGTTTAGTATATTATATGCATTTTTTTAAACTTACAGATTTGTCTTTCATGCCACGCCATAATTCACCACCACGTTTGGCAATATCTGTGACTTTGCTGCCAGGATTATCTTTCTTGATCTGCTCACGATTCTCATTCAGCCACAGCATATAAGCTGACAGAGGACGCTTTGGACGTTCACCGGCCATATTTTGAATATTTGTTGGGATTGTTCAAATTTGGAAACGTTTAGTACAAATTATTAGCACAGCTAATCGGCAAATTGGCAATTTCAACTGTAAGAAAAGAAAAGATTTTAATTAATTCATTTTGAGTGCATATGTATTAGGGTGGGTCAATTCCGGACTTTTTTCGATTCGGGATTTCTAATAGTGCGGGAAAGTTGCCTTAGTACTTCCTGATTGCAATGCAACATTTTGTTTTGAGATCGGATTGCATCTTCAACCCCAACTCCGGCTTTGAAATTTCGGAAATTCGCCTAAAATCGTGAAATTGTCTACCTAGTGCCTGAAATACGCATCTCATGGCAAAATGTAAATGTACCTGCTAAACTGCGTAAGGCTGTCGATTCATCCATTCAACAGAATGCTTTCTTTGCTCTTCCAGAAAACATTCTCCTTAGTATGATGACTGACGAAAGTTGGCCCTTGACCGTCTTCTGGCAGCCAAAGAAGCAGAGTCTGACACTGTAAATGGAAGGGTTAGATGTAATAAAGTGCCAAAGCTGAATTTCAAAGCTAATAATTATTACGATATGATTAACTGGAAGACTATTACCTTGACTACCACCAATTCTTTGTTCAGTTTCTAATGAAGAACTCGTAAAAGGGCTGTCGAGTGACACTGCAGAGGTATGGAAATTTAGTGAATTCCTCTCTCACACCGTGGCAGTCGAGAGAACCGTCAAACTGGTGACAGAGGCATCTTCTAAAGTTATTGGCCCCCAATCTCGT